AAGTCACTGACAAAAGCTTTGACTTCAACTTCTTCTACCAATTTTGAAAGTTTTCCTTAATGTTCTATTTTTGGAAAAGGGTTTTGCATTAATTGCTAGTAACATGGGTAGTAGTTGTGAAATTTATTGATAAAGTAAATTAAATAAGTGAGTGCTTATAAGCATACACAGTAATCAACAAAGCCGTTCGAGGACAAGTTCAATTTGTTCATTTAAGCATTAAATCAGTTCTATTGAAATGTTTGTTTGATTAAATAATTCAGAAGGTACAAAGGAAATTGAATGCAGCAATAAAATGAATTTCTCCTCAAATTTGCCATAATCAAGTCTGAATCAAACGTGTGGAAGAAAATGAAAAAGGGAAAGATTCTTGATCATTTTAAGATAAACAACAAATAAAATTTACTTTGAGCAGCCTCTCCACTACAGTATCGGAAGCAAATGATGAGGCAAATGTATATAAAAAAGAGAAAACAATCGCCACATTAAAAGAGCATTAAAATAAATTACATAGATTTTCATCAGCAAATTGTATATATCTATCAATGTTTGTTGAAGATGGGAACTCAAATGAAAAGTAAACGGAAAGAATGGTAAAGAAAGAGATGAGAAATGAATAATCTTATGACATAACACTCATCTCATCAAATATTTTGGTTTTAATGCTTATTAAATGTATTAACTAGCAAGTAAGTCGCCACTAGAATAGAATTCAATTAGTAGTCTAGCGGAATAATTCCATGACTTTGCCCAAATATTTATAATTCTTTTAATGCTATCCATAGACATTTATATTTAACGGTTTTTTTTAAATTTGAAAAACACTCTTAAATTTTTTTAAAAAATTTCTCACTTCAAAAAGTATTTCTGATTTTAAAGCGATATATCTTAGTCAAAAAATAAGGAAGATGAAGACTTTATATATCAAGAGAGTGGCAAAAATGAGATAATCAATATTACGTAAGCTCATTGTACTGAAGAGATTTTTTTTTGTCCGCCAAATGAGCATTAAATAAGCTGGTGTAAAAAGAAGCTCTGTGCCAAAAATCTATCATTACATTTTTATGTGATTTGTCTCTATCAGAGATTTTGCTTGCTCAAACAATAAATTATTTACCATTCCCGTATAAATTGCTATAATCAAGAAATGAACGTTTAGCTATGAATCGATGTAATATAGATGCCTTGCCCATATCTGCCTGCTGGAAACTTTTCAGAATTTACAGTCCTTTTACTTCCTTTTTTTGTAATTTGCTCAACATTTATAAAGTCATTTATTTAAATGTCCACAACAGTCATTTTAGTTTTGAAACTTTACAGTTCTTTTGACAACAAAAATTTGATTACTATTATGACTGTCGAGCTTCCAAACATGACACTTGCTTCACATGCATAAAGCTCTCTTTTAAGTTACTAATTAGAAATAAATTTTCACATTTTACAAGGCAAATAAATAAATAAACAAAAATCAGCACAACGTTATAAAACTTTTACGTGACGGACGTGGTCAACTTCCGATTTCGACTGTTGACAATTTTTGTGTGCATTTTCATTTTGTATTTTTTGAGTAATCAAATCACGGAAAATTTTAATTGGAACTTTAAACCTTTCTGTGCTGTGTGGTGATTGTGATATAAAATAAAATTGTTATGAAAATTAAAGCTATAATAGAATGGATAGAACGCGAATGATCAGCAAAGCGAGGAGAAACACAAATTTCCATTAAATATGAAAACTTTTATATTCAATGATGATACTTGAAAAAAATAGTTGCTTTACGCGAGCAAGGGAATTACTCACTCTCTTCACATTTTTTTAATTCTACATGTGTATGTGTATGATTGTGGACTCTCATGAGGCTCGTCCACAAAAATGAGCTTGGTGATATGTTAACCGGAGTCATGGTTCGATGGCATCGTGGGTATTTTAACTTTATATTTCAGCTTCATATAGCAAAAAATAATACAAAGACTCAACGTTCACTGGAAATACTGTCATGTAAAATAAAATTCTTGCTTCATATTGAATTCTGTTTTTTTTTGTAAAAAAAATATATTCTTAAAATTAAAAAAAGTTTACGAAGAATTTTTTTCTTATTTTGACATTTTTTCTGTTTGTTTTCTGGAAAACATATATTTGGGATTTCGCTTGACTGAATCGATAAATGTTTTTCGTTGGATTTAACTTCGATGTTTTTGAAAGATATAGAATATTTAAAAATGAGGCGTTGTCGCTAAGTATTTTATTATGACTTCACATAGCAAATACAGATGATATGATGTTTATTTTATCCTGGGTAAGCTGCGTTATGAATTAAAATTTTGGAACCCAAGGTTAAATATAAAAAGTCTGCTCCTGTACTTGGTTGCTTTAAGGAAGTATATGTTTTGAGGTTTAAAATGTTAAAAGTGAACTTCCATTAAGGAAAATTGCCGTTTAGTATTAACCATCGATTCCACTACTATCTGTCCAGCGCCTTAAAAAAAATGGCTTTTTCCATTCCTTTCGATGGTGAAATAAAATCTAATTTAAAAGTTGAAGATTTATTTATTTTTCATATTGAGATCTTGCCAAATATTCGAAAATGTTGATTATTATTTTTTTCTGTTCATTGTTTCATGTCTGTGTTCAAACATAGCGCATAAACATCTATTCATGTTCATCCTTTTTTTTTCAGAACAACAATATATATTTTTTAATATCTCTTCAAAATGTAAACATTTTATAAATCATGTTCAAGCTTCATTGCAAACAAATCTCCAGCTAGACATTTTCAAATAAATAAATAAATAACTAGAAAAGTTGTAAGAGAGGTCAAGGACGACAATGCATGTAAAAATTTTTTTTGCTTGTTCGGAAGTTACAGATTTGAAATGACAGAAATGTGTTAGATGATAACCAATATCCTGATAATAAAGGAACATAAATTTCTTTTTAACATTAAAAAAAATGACATTCGATATGACCACCCGCAAAGTTATTTCTCCCATATCGAATCAATTGTTTTGTAAGACATATCACAAAAATCCATAAAAAGCTTTCCATTCGATCAAATATTTAATCAACCAAACAGAAAACGAAAATCAGTTCTCTCATAGTCGTCGTCATCATCATTGTGTACAACTTTACTGTTGTGGAAGAAAAAGAAAATTTTCCTTTTTATTTCAAGAGCTCTTCTTCCATTTCCTTCTTGTTTAGGGATTGAAGAAAAAAGCAATTGTAGACGTGAAAGAAAAAGAAATTATCTCAGGATTGCTCTTGATTATAAATTTCATTTTATGTTACGTTTCTATTTTGAACGAGAAGTTTGAGACATTACGTCAACTTATTTCCGTCTTCATTTCAAAGGATTAAGAGTTTCTGTTTGATAAATTCTATCAAAGAAATTTCCTTCATTTATATTGAGAGTTAAAAAGAACATCCAAGTCTACTTATTGCACTGCTTTAGCAGAATACAAGAAGGTTGCTTTTATTCGTGTCTAAAATCTTAAAGCTAAGAAATTATTTTATCAAGTCTGTCTAAAATTCAAAAGAATTTGAAATGGGACCAAAGATTTAACCTCAACATCTCCTGTTGATTTCGATGACTATTTGGCTTGTCATCGTGGCTATATCGGTTTTGCTCATAACTTTAGGACAGTGGTTCAGTTGCAGCATGTGTTTCAGACAATAGCTTTACAAAAATTTGAAGGCGGTAAGTAAACGACTTTGACTCTTTTGTTTGCATTAACTTTTAAAGCCATTCCGATCACGAAACTTTATATTTATTTATTGATGTGCAAAATGATGTTCATTTGAAAATGCTTCCCTAGCATCCCAATTTAAAAGTTAAATTGATCATGATCGTAGATTTATTCATATCGTTCTCAAATTTTCTGAATATGTTTGACTTGTGCTCATCATTTAAATTAGGTTGGCATTTAAAATTCATAGAATTTCGCATCAGATATCAGAGTATGCAAATTATACTCGCAATTATTTATGTCTCCTATTTTTATAATTGCGAAATTGTCGTTAATTCCATGAATGTATTTCAATTTTATATAAGTTCAAAAAAAAGGATTTAAAATGTCATGATATTCAGTTGATATGTTATGTGACGTGACAAGTGTTTAAGATCAAATTTGAAACCGACATTACACCTAGCTACATCACTGATTCATTCCGCAATAAAAAACGTTGCTCATATTACCGACAAAAATGAGGAAAAACACTTATCAAGTAAAGTTGAAGTGACTTGAATGATTAAAAAAAGAAGAGAATTTTGAGACGCTTTCAAAAAAAAGAAAGAAGTCCAATTAATTTTCTTGCTGATTTATAGACACTGCAGAAAAAAGTTCCATTAATCTTTATCGCTTTTCCTCATTATAATTGAATAATTATTTCATATCACTTCAGAACTTTTACGAGAGTGACGATGAAGGAGTTTTACGATGCTAAAATGCACAAGACAGATGTGAGTGCGAGAAGAAATAAACTTATCGTCATAATTTACAATTCATCTGTGGAAGGAGAGATAAGGGAGATTGCTCTCAATATTCATTTAAGTAGCTATGAGCATGAATATGGAATATGAATGGATATAACCTTCAGGGACTTATCGATAAGAATTTATGAAGATATTTTTGTGAATTTTATCGTCTACATGGATTTTTTTTCCTATTACAATTTTCATCTTAAACAATTGTGTTGCCACTTAATGCGATGTTGCGGCAATAACGTGAAAGCCTATAAAAACATACTTCATCTCTCATCCTCAACAGTAGAAAATATTGTTCTCGTCGGAATGTTTTTTTTTTCTCTTCTATTTCCTATCATCGTGTTCAATCCAATAAATTTTGTTTGTCTAATTCATGCGTCATAAAGAATCTCTGCCATTCTCTCTCCTTTAGTGATTTTTAATGAAAAAAATGCTTGTCGTGCAACCTTATTGAATTTTCCGAATAAGATTCTTTTTCACATTTTCTCGACTTATTGCTTAAATTAATTAATGGACTCACCTCCAGCTTCCAATTCAGCCAATTTGGCGGCAGCACATTCCGAGCATTGTGTACATTCAGGGCATATTTCTGCTTGCTGCTGTGGATCGATAATGACATTTTGTTGCTGTATTTGTTGTTGGGGAATTTGTTGCTGCTGCTGTTGTTGTTGCTGAATTGGAATTGACTGCTGTTGTTGTGTTGTTTGAGGCGTCTGTTGTTGACTAGATGCAGCTGCTCGTGCCGCTAGCATAGCTGCACGTTGCTGTTGAAGTCTTTGAATAACTTGAAGTTGCTGAATATGTTGAGCACCAAATACATGATTGCTTAAAGCATCTGATAATGCAGAGTCAAGTAAACTACCGTCTTTGTATCCTTCTGGTGGACTTAAAGTTGCTTGATCAACAAATTCTATTGGTGGGGCGAATTTTGGACTCTGCGCAGGAAGAAAAGATAAAACGGAAACTTATTAGAATTTATTGTTCCACAATAATTGTGTCTACGGTCGATTCTAAATCGATATTTATTATTTTTTCACGTTCAATTTCATTGTCAATTTTTCAGTCGGTAAATATTCTTTATGTATATTACATTTTATGTATTCATATTCAACAGAAAAACTACATCACGGTTTTTATTGCATTTTTTAATTCTCTTTTATTTTTAGACTATTTTCGTTCTGGTCGATATCGATGATCAGAAACCAAAATTTATTGGGGGAATGGTGTATGGTAGGAAAGGCACTTCCTGATCATTGATGTGATACATTTATATTCAAATGAACTGTACTCTGTGGCATAAAAATTCAAATGTGAATGTAAATGTCTGCAATAATATACAGCTCATGTCACAGACAAGTATGAAGTATCTCTCAATGCAAGTTAATACAATTTTCGATTCTATCGATCAGTTCATTAGTCATTTACTGAATGAATTGAATTATTGATTGATTGAGTTTTTATGAATTATTTCTTCTCCTTCTTAAACTTTTCCTTCCCATCTTGCCAAGGACGTTTTCATGAATAAATAGAATAGAACTCATATTCGTATTCTGACGCACTCTTGGGATACAATTTGCGAAAAAGAGAAAGTTATGGAAGATTTATGAAAGTTACGAACACTTTTAGCATAAACGATTAGAAACAGAGAAATGATGAGAAACACAGCATGTATAATCCACGAAATGTAATTAAATCCACAAAGAAGCACAGTGTTGTTGTTTCTGGATTATTATGGATTAAAAGTTTCAAATGGTATGGAAATTTTAAAAGATATGAGCAAGTTCATTTATGAAGACAGACTCGTACCCTTTGTAAGCACATAAGATTAGCTTGCAAACTGAATATCAACACTGGCTGTTTATTATTAAAGCAAGCTCTCAATTGAACAGACAGCTAGACAATCTACAAATTCCAGCAGCTTGATATTTATTATGAAAATTTACTGGAAATATATTCATGCGCATGTAGTAAATAAAATATTAAAGCTAAATTCAGGAAGAAGAAAGGAGCTTTAATTGAAGCTGCATTGTTTTTAAAAATTTCCATTCTATTGTTTGCCATGTCTGCTTTTTACACTCAGCCTGCACATTTGCAAAATTATGAACTCACACTCCGAGTGATTATGATTATGATTTACACTAAAATGTATATATTTTTTGTGCTCTCAAGTACTATATGTTTACGTCAAATTGCTGTAAATTATTAAAATGGATGTATATTCGCAATTCTTTCTTCTGCCTACGAGAATGTGAAAAAAGGAAATTTCAGGCATAATTTTTTTGTGTGTGAGAATGACGTGCAAGAGAATTTTTTTTTCTGCGTATAGCCAGCAGTAAGAACATGAAATTATTTGAAGAACCGTAAACAAGTAGCAATAGCAGCGAACATACAAACAAATTGGTTAAAAACAGAAATAAAGTATGGATGATGGCAGTACAAGAAGAAGAGGTAGAAAAAAAAGGAAATGAGCAATTTTACGAATAAGTGAATATTGCTGCCTCAAACTAATTCCTCTTTCTCTTGTTTTTGTGTGTCAAATATGTGCATTATGGAGACATTGAGTTTCTATGGATAAAGGAGGGACGTGAATAGGGGTTCCACATGAGAAGCTATCGATGCTTGTTTCATGCTCTGAACAATGAAAATTTCATTTGCTTTGATGAAAATTTTTTTCCCATTCTTGGTGGGTCAAATTAAACAAATTTTATAAAATACATACATATTGCGGTTTTCTGATGAAAAGCATAAAAGCTCACTAATTAATTCCGCAAAATTGTATAATTTCAGCAATACTACATGGCTAGTTAGATCATAATCTGCCAGATTAAAAATGATTTTCATTATAAACATTATTGAAGTCATAAAATACCTATTAATAATTCAAATAATTTTCACATGAATGAATGCTTTAGTAACTTTATCTTTTGACACGTAGGCAGAAGTTATGCGGAAAAAAACGAAGTGATTGAGAAATAAATTCCAATAATCTGTTTGAGCATCCTCGAGACACCCACGAAACATTTAAACCTCTAGAAATAAATCGACTGTGGCGAAAACGAAAGGGAAAAGTTCGTTATAGGTGCGCTACGAAATTATTATGGGAGCAGTTTCCTGATTGATTTTTTTTTCTCATTTTGTGCTTCTTAATTTTGCGACACGACAGACGACAAAAATATTATTAAACATTTTCGATTAAATATTAAGCAATGAACTTACCGGAGGTGTGCGTCCATCATCAGCATCTGTGTATCCACAATTGCATCCCTCATCACAACAAATTCGAACAAGCTCATGATCTCCGCACGTACATGGCTCTTCGTCCTCTTCATCGTAAGGACAATCTTCACGTATCAAAATTATATAATCGGCTTCAAAAAATTCATTTCGCGTCTCATCGAATACTACACGATTTTTACGAGCGGGTGGTGGTCGATTAGGTGCCTTAAGCAATCCCCTTAATTTTCCTGCACCTGTTTCACGCATTTTGATATTATTATTATTATTATTTGTGGATGTTTGATGACACAAAGGCACTGCTTCAACTAAACAATCACAAAAGAAATCACTCTCATCACTTTTTAGATCGTCGTCGTCTTCGTCTTCTGAATAATGTTCGTGATTGCTTTTGTCTTCAATTGATTCTTTTAAGAATTTATGGAATGTCTGAACATCAAATTCACAATTTGAGAATGAAATGTCATTGAATATGCTATGAATGAGTTTCTCATGTAATTCCTCGTCGTCTTCACAAATTGACACTGATCTATCCTCAGGATCTTCCTCAAAATAGACAAAACTACAATCTTCGTCACACTCTATGTTTTCATGATCATTATTAACATTATTATTTACTATATCCTCGTCACAAACTATAAACTTTTTATCCTTTTCACGAAATATTTTACAAATTTCATCCGATTCTGTAGATGATTCTGGCGATTGAAGTCGTTGAAGTGAATTTGATGCTGGCAATAGACTTTTGTCTTCAAATTTTATGTCCTCTAATGTCTTACTTGTATTGTTTTTAGATTCTGTTGGCGTAGATTCTCGATCTAGAGAAACTTTTTGTTAATTTTATGTTTACAGATATCAGTCATTGTGCATGAGGAAAGGAATTGAGAGCAACGAGGAAAAAATCGATTACGAAAGGATTAGAGATGAAATTTCTCTTTTCATGACTTCCTCAAACTACAACATGCCTATCAAATGGAATTGAAATGTTCACCTATGTATGTCATTGAATGAAGCCAATGAAATGTTTGCTGAATGTCTACATGTGAGAAAGGCAGTAAAAATATATTCCCGAGAACCAAAAAATTAATTCCGCAAGAAAATGAAAAAAAGAACTAAACGTTTTCATTTTAATTGGAAAATGTCAATAGAACCTTAGATAAATGCTGATTGACTTATGGCAGCCATACAAAAAATTTCTATTTACCTACTGTTACCATAGGTTATCAATATTGAAAAGAAAAGAAAAAAATCATCAATCTGAATGTGCTTGTGCTTTCCTTACTGTCGACGTTTTCCTTCTATTCGCAATGACTTATTTTCTTACATTGTACATTCACTGGAATATTTTTTTTTTCAATGATTATTGATGCATAATGTGAAATAATGATGATAATGGAAAATGCAAACAATCTCTTTTTTTCTCGTCTTCCTCCCATTCCTTGTCATGTGAAATTTTCTATTCCTCTTTTTTTTTTTGCTTTGATACTCACCATTATTTATTAATAGTTTTGATGTTGTGCCATAATTCAACTCTTTATTATCGCACTCATACCTAAGGGAATTATCTGACAAGGTCGAAGATGTCGTCAATGGAAATTGTAGAAGAGATGAGGAGTTCAATGAATCAGTTGTGTTGCTTCCACTATAAAACTGTGACTTGAACTCTCTATCCTTTCCGACCGAGCTAAGAATTTCCTCGGATTTAGAAAAGACCTTTGAACTTCGCAAAAGTTTCTTAGTGTACGAGAATCCTTTGAATCGCTCCTCTAATCTTTTTAGTCTTGAGCTTGCCTCAAAGCAACTTTCTTGATTTAGTGATGTTGCTGAGCTATAAAACTTTGGTGGAAGTTTTCTTTGTGATGTTTTTGATGAGAGAAAGTCAAATGATACTGCAGCTTTATCTCTTAATTCTCCTTCGACGTCCTTTAAAACTTTACCATCACTATCATCTGACTTTGAAAATAATGAAAAGTTTTGATTGCACACAGATTCACGATTATTATTTTTATCACTTGATTCCTCAACCACAACTTTTGATTCTTTTCCTAACGAATTAATTAATTGAGCTTTATTATTATTAAATTGCAACTGCTGTTGCTCTACAACTTCTTCCTTTTCTTTGTCTTCTTTCACAATTAAGTCAGTATTGAAAATTTTTTGGTCGTTGTCTTCTTCAACTGATGCTACTGACGATGACGATTGAGGTTTTTGAAATTCATTACTATTAATAAAACTGGATGTGGAACAATTGCTGCAATCGTTATTTGAACAACATAAGATTTTTGAACTTTCATTAACACAGGAAGATTTTCTTAATATCGATGTGAAAATGGATGATTTTTCTTCTTCTAGATTTTTTTGTGTGAATTTTTTTTGCAATCTTTCGAAATCGATAAAACTTTTATCAATTCCTTTATACACTTTATCCTCAGACTTGAAATCACTTTCTCTTAACTTTTGACTACTTTTATCATCAAATTCTTTTAGTTTTTCTAAACAAATTGAATATTTTTTCACAATCGATGAATTTTCTGGTTGGATTGCTGATAAAGGCTGTGGTAGTGATGGAATACTAGACAAGTCAGTCTTCCCAGTATCCACATTTGCACATGCGCTGGGGGCATCCAGTGGAAGTTCATTCAATGATGATGATATTTTCTTTTGCTTTCCTAATGTAGGAAGTGTATCATAATTATCATCTTCTGCGCAGCTCCCCACTATTGCCATTTCATTCTTACCACTGCTCGTTATTATACTTCCAATTTCCAGTAGATCCAAAAGCATTGTTATTGTACTACTGTTGGAATTTTTCTCATTCATATCCTTTACGGTGTCTTGGATATTTTCATCATTTGAATTATCACTTAGATCTATTAACGGTTCTTCCTTTTCAAATTCAATGAGATCTTTTGCATCACTTTCATCAAAACTCTCGATACTCATAATCTCATCTTTAACATCCGAGTCATCATCATCATCCATGATATTTTTAAGTATATTTTTCTTTTTTCTCTTTAATGATCTTTTAACAGCTACAATCTTTGGTGGTGGACATTTAATTGGTGTCATAACAAAATCTTCGTCATAAGCACTGCTCTTGTAACTTGTTGCTGAATACATCTAGTAGATTAAATGAGCGAGAAACAAAAAAATATAAATGAGGGATACAATAATAATCATAAATTAATGTAAAGGAATATAGTTAAATATACACTTGGTCAATGGCCGTGAACTTGTTACAGGTTTCCCCTTTTTATGAAGGCTATTGCATAAATTATGTATGTGTGTTGTTTTATGACGTTGACCGATTTTTTTTTCTCTTTCTTTCTTTCCACTACTTTGGTTTGGCATTTAGGGTGGGAAAATATTTTTACTGTTAATATTTTCATAGAATTAATCTATGCAAATTACTAATACACCGAGGAAATTGTTAGGACGAACAACTTATAATTCAAAAGGAGTGAATCTCATGAATATTTTAATCAGTATGTAGAACCTTAATGCTTTTTTATTCCCACACGAAAATTGATTAATTGTAAATCATGTCGAGACTTTAGTTACATAACTTTGTGTACAAAATTCGATACTTTGATTGGTTTCCCTTTAATATCATCCTAAATAAATAAAACTTGAAAATTAAATTACGGATATTTATTCTCAGTTCTTCCTGGGAAGCAATTTACTCAATTATTTAAGTTTGTTGGCCATAATTTCCTTAATTCTTTTATAAACGTTGATCATTTTGTTTTCTTTTGGAAATTCAGCTTGCAAACAATTTTGTTCTGCTATACTAAGCTCATAAAATGTAGAGAAAAAAATTTACAGCAACAGTTCAGGAAACGACACAGTTTATTTGATCATGAAGTGTCAAATTACATCAGTACATCCATAATTTACAGTATACCCAATTCACACATACACATATGGTAACAATAAAAGAACAATTAATTTTAATTTAAAATGATCCTTTTGCAGTCTTCAATAATGACCATAACATCATGACCAATATCTCTTCATTATCGGTCCAACATCAACAGCAGTTTCATTTTTCAAATTTGTTATCCTTTTGTGTAACTACAAAATATTTCATGTGGATAACATAATAATTATGGTGCATCCCAGGATACTCATTTATTATCCAATACAATGGTTAAACTATAGCATGAAATGACCATGAAGGAAGAATTTTTTTTTTGTACATCAACTTGAAAATAATTTAGAAACAATTTTTTTGTTCTTTCTTGTATCAAAGAGAAAGAGAGGCTAAGATTCCTAATACACAAAAATTAAAGAATGCTCAAGAAGAAGGAACAATAAAATATTTCCAAAGTCTTCTTTCCCTTGCCTCTTCCCTCGTTTTTTTAAAAAACAGCATAATATTTTATAACACACATTTTTTTACATGCAGACTGTTTATCGGTGCGTGACGATGACGATTTCCCACCCGACAATGTGACTCTACAATGACGATGGAATTTGAATGTGAATGTATAAATATTAATTTGTGTGTAAATTTCCTATGAGAAATTATCTTCCTTGTGATTTTGCTTTGCTCAATTGTTGAATTAATTGAATTGAAAAGTGCTCATACAGAAGTAAGTGCTGATTATAAAGCAGGAAAGTTTCAATTGTCATGATTGATATTTAAATTTTACAACCGGCAGCTTGTTGTATATGCAATCGAAATCAATCAATCTGCTTCTTTCAAATAAATGAATAAGGGACTGTGATTAATGGTTATTGATCACGATTTATTTAGTTTCTGAGGAATATCAACAAAGTAGTAAATTACCATGAAAATGTCTAAAAAACCACAGCACGATTAAAGAAGGGTTTTTACTTTTGCTTATTGTTATTATTGTTGCTGCTTAATTTATAATCAACAAAAGAAAATTGAGGGGTGAATAGTCAACCCCCCAACTAATGCCGCGCTTTTCACATGCCACGTTATCATTCCACAAATCTATGAAAAAGTTTACCTTTCCTTCGTCTATTTGCTTTATTGTCACACAAAGGTATTTCAAATTCTTTTCTTTTCTTTTTTTTTTGTAACAAAGTTTCATTTTCAATACTTTTAGCATATTTTTTTATGCCTTAATATGTGATTACTTCTATCACTTTGCTATTGTATTAACACATTGTGGTTTTTTAAGCTTGACACTTTTGATAATCGAGAAGATCAGTTCATAAATATAAAAATAGTTCTAATCAAGCTAGTGAATGTCAACCCATGACCCATCACCAAATTCAAGAAGCTTTCAATACGTTTGTCTGTTTAAATTATTTTCACAGCTTTTACTAAGCTTAACTCAGCAGGGTACAAGCTATTCACCTGCAGTGACTTGTCTCAAAGATGACACTTTCAGCGAATGGAGCTGTCAACTTGATGCATCAGTTATTAACGAGTATTGTGGAATTTAAAGCCACGAAAACAATTAAACACTGATACTGTCGACAAAAATCTCTTCCGCTTAGGTGTAGTCTTCAAAACAAAACATGACAAAAGGCACCACACACTGAGCATTTCATCATCAAAAAAATATATAATTTTTACAAAGTGGCTTCGACCACATTTAAATGAAAAATTTCGAAACTAATCTCAGTTAATTTCTTCAAAAGAAATAGAAAGAAAGAAAAGCACTTCCGCCTTGTTTTTAAACAAGTTGATAGCACTTCGTACTTGTTCTAGCTTTACATTATGTTTTTAAACAAAAAATTTTTGAATTGATCTTATTGTTATGGTGACAAACGAGTTTGATAATAAAAATAACAACTTCATATTTGCAACCCTCTCAGAATAACTAGACCAAGATATGTAATAGAACTTACAAGGGGACTTTTTTTTCTAAGAAAACCAATAAAAATAATTTATTTTGTCAAATTTATCGTGGAAGTACGTAATCGACAAACAAGTTATGTTACCGGGACAAGTGAATCATTTGGATATAAAACAGATATGTCATTACTTGCCTTTCATTCATTAATAATTTATTCCACTTTGTATTGCTATTTATAATCCATTTGTTAAATTTTTCTTTGAATAATCAATTTGATGAGTGTGAGTTAGTCACACTTTTGAGATTAAAGCACCTTTTTCAAATTTCATGTATGCTCTATTTTTTGTTTATTGTTTGAATCACAAGAGCCACTTTGCATTGAATATGTAATGAAAAATTTTTTTAATTGAATGGAACTTCATGTCGTGGTTGTTGACGAATATTTTTAAGGGTCAAAAATTCTTTTATTCTGTGTCACTATTTTACTTTGTCCAACATAATAATCATCATCATGAATTAACAAAAGGCATTTTGCAGGGCACTAAAAATCACACATTAAATATAATTTAGACCACAGACTCTCATTTCCGGAAAGGTACCATTGTTTAATTAAGAGGGAATTGAAATTTGAGAATAATGTTCTCGAGAGCTATTCAATTAATTGTGTTGTTTATTTCACATTTATCCACAATTCACTTTACCACACAGCAAAAAAAAATAAAATAATGAAAAATAAAAATTTGTAGGCAACGCTCTCCGAACAGCGACCACATGTTAATTCAACGAGCGACACAAACCGAATAAACAAAAGAAGAATTGGAGAATTTTCATTCTTTTATTTTATTTTCATTGTTTGGAAAGGTGTGCGGCAATATAGAAAAAAATTGAGAGAGAGCAATGAGCCTATTGAGCGCGACTAGGTAATGTTGAGTTAAGTGTCTTGTAAAGAAACTGAGAATCTCTAAAAGTTGTACACAAAAAAACATTTGTTTTAGAAAAATGAGCGTAAAAAACAGCGTGGAAATTTGAGCAGCACTTCCTCGTGCAGCAATGCGATTCAATTAACTTAATAAACATTCTTTTAATACTTTTTTATTTCCTTTTTTTAAAAAATATTATTTTTTTGAATGTAGAACATAATTTTTGTTCGACATCTTCTTGTTCCTTAATGGAAAAAATATGTGAATGGAATTTATGACAATAACAGTTTCTTAGCAACAGAAATATTATTAATAGGAATTCGATATGATGTGAATTATATTCTTTTTCTAGTATACATAAAAATATAAATTTGCCAGCATGAAATATAAGAGCCACGACATTCTTGACAGTTGCATGCGAAAGTTTTCACATTTTCAACAAACCAGGAAAGGAAATCAGGATGAGCACGTTTGATTGATCAAATATCAAAAATATTTAAAGATTCTGGGAATATAAGAGAGCCACAGTTTTTTGATTAAAACTGGGCATTTATTATTTTTCAAAATTCTCCTAAAATAAATCCCCAATTTTTTGATTAAAACTGGGTATTTATTATTTTTCAAAATACCCTAAAATATATCCCCAGCTTTTTAAGTAAAATAGGGCATTTTACACTCTTTCGTTTTATTTTTTAATTCCAACTGTAAGTTATGCTTAATAAAATGAGGTAATTGAGTGTCTACCATAAGAAATCTGAAATATAATAAAACTGAAAAATACAAATCAATAAATGAATTATTTAAGATAATGAAATTTTTATTTGTCATTTTCTTAATATAAATTAAGATTTTCGTTCTTAACTCTAAGTTTTTTAAAATTAAGTTTTTAACATTTTTCTTAAAAATGTTTATATTTACACTACAAATATCATCCCGATTTCGAATTCTCATTTAAAATTATCAATAATATGTATAATTTCATAGATCTATCTATTCATTAGCTTCCTACTATTTAATCAATTTTATTCATGAGAAATTAATTTCAACTAGTTTATTTACTTAATACCAATTAAAGAGTTATATAGCAAAACAATATCTCTAATGATGAAAAAAAGCAAAGATGATTTAAAAATATTATGTACAAAATATAAATTTAATTAATAATTTCTCTAATTAATTCACAAGATTCAATATTGAAAACAACTTTTATGCCATATCCACATAAAGTTCCATACTTTAAGTTTGTCAAATCAGATATTACCATGTGAATATGGTCACATTAGCTTTGAGCCGATACTCAATTTTATTGTGGCGATTGATCTCCTGATCCTTCACTTTCCTGCTGCTCCGATTCTTGTGAAACTCGCATTGATTCAATTTTACTTACAATTTTCAACGCTGGTCCCAATTTCATACCCATTGCACTAACAAGATGATTTTCTTTAAGCAATAAGAGTGCCTGCCCATCGATTTCTTGCAATGCAAAATCTTCAGCATAGTCTGTACAGCCTGGAAGATTTTTAATAAAGTCACACACTTGTGAGACGCTCCATTTCATCATGACATGCTCCTCAATTGATTGACTTTCGACATTATTATCACTATTGTCTGTTTTTGATTTATCAGCATGTGATGGAGATGCTTCAACAACTTTATCATCACCATTACTTGCTGATATGACTGGTGAGCTGTCAGTTGATGCAGTTTTACTAGCACGAGCACAGTTTAATGAGCAGAATCGTTTTCGTTTCAATTTACTTCTCATTTCCTGTTTTCCACATTGCTCACATGCTACCATGTCAGTTGGAGCTTGAACTGGCGTTGATGATGATACACCTGATGATTCTCCATTGACAATTTTAGGGCTTTCACTAACTTTTGAATCATCTGTTACAGCCTGCTTCTTTTTTGGTGGCTCATCATTCTCTTTTTCTGAATATCGTTGCCTTGTTACTGGGAATGGCTCACTTGACTCTTGAATTACATATCCTTCAATGACATGTGTCAGCACATTAGGCTTAACCATAGCTTTAGGTAATTCATTCTTTAATAATGGAGAATTTGTGGTTACATTGTTTGTTATCTTCTTTATGTCTGCATCACCATTCTGCGTCGTTAAAGGTGTATTACTTCCAGTACTTACAACTTGAGTTTTTGATGCATTTGATGAGTTTGGTGTGGATGGAGTTTGTTGATTTTTATTTACACTAGGTGATGACGATACACTATTATTTGATGATGCATTTTGTGATTCCTCAGCTTTTCTTGACTCAGCTAAGCTCTCTGTTGCCTGCTTCTTTGCATCTGTCTTATTTTCGTCCTCTGGAGCAGATCGTTTTAATGGTGACGATGAAATTGTTGAATGACTAACAGATGTTGAAACTACAGGCTTTTGTGACTCTCCTGTCGATGCATCAACCTTTTCTTTATGAAGACTGCTTGACATTGGAGATGCCGAGAGAGTTGTCATAGCAATTAGGGGATTTTGTGGAGGTTGAAGAGGAGTTTGTGGTGATGAGAGTGGTCCAAGAATTGAATTTGATGTATCAGCAGTTACTGATCCAGCAATGGAAGTTACAATATGAGTATTGGCCATAGATGTAGAATGAGAAATATTATGCGACGTAACTGGTTGAGCCATTTGTAAAATTGGTGGATGTGTACCAGCTTTTGTCATAATTCCTTGCTGTTGTAATTGTGGCATGGAATGTTGAAGGTTTGCAGAAGAAGTTACAGTCACAGCTTGCATCTGTTGTGGTTGTAATACAACTTGCTGTATTCCACTGGCATTTGCAGCTGCAATTAGTTGTGCATTTTGCATACCTGCTTGTGAATGAAGAAGTTGTTGTTGCTGCTGCTGAAGTTGTAATTGAGCGATTTGCTGCTGAAGGACTTGTTGCTAAAATAATTTTAATTTAAATTGAATTATAATTAATGACATAAAAATAATTTTTTAATGACATACCTGTTGTAGAATTTGCTGTTGAGCTTGTTGCTTCATCTTATCATTCGTAAGTATTTGAGGGCTTGAATTTTGCTGAAGAACTGGTGTCAATTGTCCATTGATATTACTCATCACGACCATCCTATAATTCGAAAACATTTTATCGTAAATGTCATCTTCTTTGATAGTACAAAAACTGTTTCTAGTATAGACGTGGTGAAATTAATTCAGATTTTGCGTATTAAAATTTATTCTCAAATTGTGCATGACGTAACTAAAGTTTCAAGTACTTGAAGTTCATAGAAGAAGCTTTAAAATGTAAAGGAAAATCACGTTTCATAAAACATGAAGCAACATGAAACAAGTTGATAAGGAAATTTGATAAATTATGCTGTGAAAGCATTTTTGTGCTGCTTACATTTTGTCAGAATCAAGCTATGATTCAAAAAACGCTTCAAACTCAATTAAATAAAAAAAATAATAAAATGTACTCACTTATTTACGCCTGGTGCTACAACTTGATGCATCATTGTGGTAGGTTGTGTTTGCTGATTTAATGAAACTTTAATATTCGGTGCAGCAGGCCGTACGGGAGTCTGTTTCGTCCTCACTTTTGGTGTCTTAGCAAGAATATTTGCGTTCTGGTTAATTTGAGTCTGTGTTGATACTGAACTTGCAGGACGTATGGGAGCACCCTGTGGGAGAATTGGTGGTGCTCGTTGCTGATTTTGTTGCTTCGCTTGTAAATTTTCATTGGCTGGACGAACTTTTTGTTGTTGATTCGTGGCTTGAGCAATATTTCCGACAAGAGAAATTTCTACAAAATAATGAACAATAACCGATTAATTAATGCAATTCATGTTAGCTGTTACGAGTAATTAACTTACGATTGTGTGGAGATTGTACAGTTTGATGCGTTGAAGTTGGCGTTGGACTCTGTTGGAAAATCATCTGTGTTCCATCTTGATTAGATCCTCTTATTAAAATTGGATTTGTTGCTACTATTTGTGGTTGAATTCCATTTGCTGTTGCTGTCCAAAATGGCATTCCTTGCAAATGCCACGGAGTGAATTGCATAGTTTGACCACCTAATAATTGAGCTGTTGGCATTGTCTGTGAAACTTGAACACATTGTTGCTGCTGATTGGCTTGTTGCTGAGCCTGATTTCCTACATTCCCTGATTGCTGTTGATTAGAATTTTGTGTCGTCACTTTTTGTAAAACTTTCTGTCCTCCAACAGTCTTTTGTGTATTGTCATTTTTTGATGGTGTGTTTTGTGTTTGCATATTTGGCAATATACTCTGTTGTCCACCTTGCTGATTTTGTGTTTGTGATCCAAGTACACCATTAACAGTCACTGGACTAAAAAGTAACGTTTGTGATTGACTTGAGGGAATCGTTGGAAGTGTCGTATAACTGAAACTTTGAGCTCCTGACGCTGTCGTTAAAACTGGTTTCCCACCCGCCGTGCTAAGCATTTGTGGCGTTAGTTGATTCTGAAATGGTTTCCCAGCTATTAACTGAATTTGTTGCTGTCCTAATCCACTGTGACCTATTAAATTTCCAGCAGCTGACATGAGTAATTGAGGACCATACATTTGTTGTAGATATGATGTATTTTGAATAGGTTGCTGAAGGACTTGAACGCGTTGCTGTAAATATTCGGCTGGAACTTGTCCAGATTGAACAGCTTGCTGTATTGCATTCTGAATATTTTGTGCATTTTGCATGTTTTGTGAATTTTGATGTGGACTTTGTGGTGATTCCTGAACAATTTGCATTTGTTGCATCTGTTGATCTTGTAATGACTTTAAATCAGCAGCTGTAATTCCTTGTTGCTGTTGTGTTGCATATTCTTGCTTAACTTGAATCGTTGGTCCTCCATTTCCAAATGCTTGTTGAATTTGAAACTGTTGGAATTGTGTCAATTGCTCTGGCAAAATTTGCATGGGCATTTGTTGTTGTTGTTGTTGTTGTTGCTGCTGTTGCTGTTGCTGCACTTGCTGTGCAGGACTTTGTGATTTTTCCATAACTAAAGAATTTTCGTACTTTTCGTCAAAGGTTATTCCAGCCTTTTGTGCTAATGTTTCGAGACACTTCAATGGACGTTCCTTATTTGGGGTTCTCGTATGAACTACGGCAGTCGATTTATTTGGATCTAAATTTTCAACTTTTGGACTTGGCGATGATTGTTGCTGTTGTGTAAGCTTCTCTGCTTCTTTTGGATTTATCGTCAAACTCTGTTCGATTGCTTTCTTCTTATTCTCTTCCTTTTGTATATTGTTATAATGTTCAGTCCTACAAATAAAAGATTATAAAAAAATTAATTTTGAATCCCTCTCAATCTTTTTTTTTTGCTATGTGGTAAGAGGAAAATATTATTAATGCAAATTTACGAAGCCGGAAAAAAGGGTTCAATAAAGCTTCCCTTCCCTTATTATATATTTGATGTCTAATGAAGAAGAATACAAAAAATCACCATTTTTAATGTGCATATCTGTTCATTCACGGTTAAAAAAATGAATGAAACTGAAAGGGATGCGGCATGTGGAATTGAAGTTTTTATTTTAATTTGAAGATATGGGAATTGAAAAAAATAAAAGTGAAGGGATTGAAAGTTAAAGCCCTACATATAACCCTATCTATATACGCATAAATTTTTTTCTGTAAAAATGGGGGTTGATTTTTTTTTGTTGCCTGAAATCTGTTCATGAAATTCACAATGTGCGTTGACTTTGTGTTAGTGCAAAACCCTTTCATATTTTAACAAATAACAAAAAAAAATTATCCATCATCGTGTAAGAGCTGAGGCCCTCGAGAGATAAAAACATAATCGAGAAAGACATTAAAAATGTGAGAAAACACAAGATATCTCCTGTTATGCTTTGTGTATAGTTTTCAATATCAAGTTGAAGTTCTTCTTCTTATGTCTTCGTCTTCAGTGTACTTTAAAATTTAAAAATCAGACAGAAGCAGAACGGGAGAGTAAAAAAAATCGAAAATACAGAAAACGAAAAGACGAGAAGAAAGTTTTAGACGACGACGATGGCAATGATGATGATGTCGAATGGCAAAAAACGCAGCAGCAAGCAAGCAACAACAACAACTGAAAATTGTTGAAAAAAAAAATTTTTTTGCACAAAAGAAGATTGCAGCATGAAATGAGGAGAAAAAGAGCAAAAAGCATCGAAGTTTTTACACATAGCACATGAAAAATAACAAAATAAAAAAAAATTGCACATACGACAACAAATACAGCCAGCAACCTGTTTAAATGTGTGTAGCTGTATGCACACATACAAACTACATCTGAGAGTGTCAGTATTGAGGGATGAATGAATTTTGAAGAAATCGACTAAGATTGTGAAGTACGCAGTATTGCTATAGCTTTTTATTACATAACGGATGGATTTATTTCAAACCGGTTTATGTTCCTTTCAAGTAATGTTCTTACAGTGTGCAAATACATGTAACCTATACATTCTAACGTAAAGTAAGTGAGAAAAGAATGTAAAGGCGATGTAGAACATTATATGGATTTTATGATAATACGTAAATAAAATGATAAAAGAATGAAAAAAATCATAAAAATACCTTTTCGTAAAGAAACCTCGTGGACGTTCCATGGCTTTTTACATCAAATTATAAGAAATGATAATTAAGAAGCGAACTTAAACTTAATAATGTAAAAAACTATAAAATGCATTTAATGTTTCTGCAGTTTTACTTGTATTAGTGAAATGTAATTTTTTTCTGCTCTGCCTGCTCATTCAAATGCAAGAAGCTTGCAAATTTTCTTCTTCTTCTTTTAATTCATTTTAACGTCCTCTATAACTTATTGCATGCTTTATGTCATAAAATATTTCCACTAATATAATTTGTTTTGCACCTCTCAATTATTATATCCAATATAGCTTAAGTCTTATTATGTATAGATCTATTCATCTCACACGCGACTTGAAATAAAATACATTTTTTAAGTTCCACTCTCTTTTACTTCGTTTGACCGAATCTGCACAAAAACCTAGAGACGACTGAAAATGTTGATTTCATCGCGCTTTCAATGTCCCGCTGCTGTATACATTAAAATACTAAAAATACATTTACCAGTGAACATTCGTCTTTTTTTACTCTCTCTCAATGTCTGTGCTACTTCATATACATTCATCACATACAAAACAGTCAGTTTTGCCTGAATATGTATGGAAGTAATGAAAAATGAAAAAAAAAAAGGAACAATGGTGGTGGGGAGAGAACGATCATAATGTACAGTGCATACATTCATAGTGTGCATGTATGTCAGAAAAAAAGATGAACAAACATCGACAGAACGAAGCAAACAGGCTGAGAAAGAATTTCAACGCCATTATTATATTTTTTCGTTTCCAAAGTGCTTTTATGACTTATACATTTCCATCTCACTCTTACACTCATGCTCAGTAACACGTTATCGTGCCGTTTCGCTCGTGCACATGTCATTAGATAGAAAAATTATCGTTGATTGCCATCTGGCGCAGGCCTGTTAGGCAGGCAAGAAAAAAAAATTTTTTACGAATAATAAGAAGAAGAGGAAAAAAAAACCATTAATTTAACATTTTCATCAGGGTCTGCTTTTTCAACAATAAAGAATGGAAAAAAATAAAGCAACGAGAAAAGGAGGAAGAGAAAAAAAAAATATTAAAAATGCCATATATTTAACGTCGCCCTTCTTCTTTTTCATTTTCTGTATAAATCCCTCTTTTGAACAAAAAAAAAACTATACAGATGAAATTTATAGCTACAAAGACTTATTTTTATGATTTTTTTTTCAGTTCTTCTCTTTTGGTACTGTTGCAATGTTCACAATACCCGACCCGTTTTGCTCTCTCGCTCTCGCCCACATTTTTGTATTATTTTTTCGGCATCAATGCGCGTTGCTGATCATCTATCACATTCTAGTGAATACAGACAGAGTAGTGGAAGAAGAAGAAGGAACAAAAATCTCGTTCGGGTTTGTTGAAATTAAATGCTTCATATTTTTTTGACATCTCCTGCTTATTTTATTTTATTCCCTTCATCATCATCGCAAAGATTTTTTTTTTTCATAGGCATCAGGAGGTAAATCATTCTGAATGTTTCATGACAATCTCAATTCTCGAATAAAAGATGATCATTTTTTACTGCCTTTCCCGCTTTTTAAAAAGAAACTCGAATGAAATGAAATGAAGTATGAAATTCAGGAACAAGAAGAATGAAAAAAAAAATAAGACATTAAGGTTCTCTCCTCTTCTTCTCTTCTTTTTCTTCTCCTCTTGTAGATTTATCATTTTATTTCCATTATATTTCTTCTTTTCATTTTACATTCTATACTGATCCTTTATAAATTATAGTTGAGGATTTATTTAATGACTTGCTTGCTTTGTGCATGCATTGTTTTATGCCCGATGAAAGGAAAAATAAAAAATAAAGCAAGCAAAAAAAGATAATATGAAGAATGTCAGGGCATAACAGCTATCAAGTTCTTCTGTACGTTTTCTTTTCTTTCTTATCCTATGCTTCTCGAAATGTATAGAAAGCTTGCATCTACGATGCCAAGTGAAATTCTGGATAACGGGAACTTTTATGTCAAATTGCATTTAAGAAGATTTTTGTTTTGAGTTATTTCGGAGCAATGTCATGACGAGGCTGGAGTAAATAAATCCTAAGCGGTCAAGTTAGACAATAGACCAGAAATCTTTAATTTTGAGGACGTAGGTTCAATTCCATCAAAAGTCGTTTTTTCAATCATTACTTAGCCAACTCATCAACATTTATTTACTAATGTCAAGTGGACTTTACATATATATGTAGGAAGATAATAACTGACAAGATGAGAAAAAAATTCCGTTTTGATTGGTTCCACACAATTTCCCTCTTCTTGCTTAATACTTTACATATCTGGACTAGGTTTTTAGTTCTTCCCAGGTCATCTTTGATCATCAAACCCCCCTCTTCCTAAAATGCGAACGGCCTCTTGGTCTTTGGAAATAGAAAATTGTTCGCAATAACATCAATAAAGCATAAAAAGCGAACAACTCAATACTAGGAACTAAAGGTTAAACTGTCTCTCAAAACAAAGTTTGAGAACAACTGTCATATGGCTAGAGCTCAAAAGCAATTTCAGTAAGATATTTCCTATGAAATCATATCATCAAGCTTCAAAAACAATGATCAGAAAATCATGAAAAGAAAATATTTTGATTTTTGATTAACCTGTCTACAATATTCAATTACCACCTCCCAAAATTGTCATAAACTTTGCTCTGTCTCATAATTCCCAGTAATGTGTAATCTTAACCAATCCATAAACTTTATCAAAATTCTCAGAATAATTACAAAGAGTGATAATAAGTACAATACATTTAAAGTGCGGGACATGTCTCTTTGTATCAGAAAGGGTTCGGAATAAAAGCTTCAATACATGCAAGCATTGATAAATATTCCTACCAATACATTAATACAACCAGCAGTGAAATAAGAGATAAATTTCGAGGAGAATCTGCGCAAATCTGTTTTATGTCGGATCGACAGAGTTGGATTTAAGGCATGAGTAGCATTGGGATATAAGATTTGCAAAAATAGGACCTTCACAACCTCAACCTTATTTTTAAACTCATTATAAAAAGTCTTGGAGTTAGGCTCGATATTTTTTTTCGAGTTTCCAACTCTGAACAAAGATAAATTCCTACTAACGTGATATTCTTCAATTTATGGTCTCTTCATTACTTTGGTTGAAGTAAGGTCAATTTATACCTATTGCTTAGAAGGAGAAAGGATTTTAAGCCTTGGATTTAATCAATGGGGACCAGTAGTCTCAGTGTAAATGAAAATCATTAACAGAATACTTTGTGGCAAAGCAATCATGTCGCATATCCCAAAACCCACACAAAAAAACTTAAAGCAGAGCAGCAGCAAACCTATTGCTTAATTTCCCATCATAAAATTCTTAATTAAAATGCAAAACCACCTGTCTGTATTTACCAGTTCCTATTGATAAGCATTCATGGATACAAAAATTGCAATCACCATGAGTTTATCCATGAATGCACGAATAATCTCATATTTATCATTTTACCCAGTCCATTCACACGTTTTCGTTGTTCATTTCAGTCTTTTTCTTTTCCTCTTCTTCCATTCCTAATTTCAACATCTCCCTACAGTGCAATTTGTCTGTTGTAATTAATAAATAAGAACAGTGGAATCAAAGTAGTACTAAGTTAATTAATGGTTTATTAAGTCTCTTATAAGTTATAGTCCGAGGTAAAAACTACCGAGTGTAACTTGTTTTAGTAGCGACCTCTATAAGTAAAGTCATACTTCAACACTTCTCCTTGACTTTAATCTTCTCCTTAGTTATTCAACTATGTTAGCTTTTTGCCTAAAATAGTTGATCTTCGTTGGTCCCAATGGTTTCGTCAGTAAATCAGCTACATTGTCTTCAGTCGAACAATAATGCAAAGTCAGTTCTCCCCGTTCATTCATTTCTCTAATGAAATGATATTTTGTATCAATATGCTTTGTTCTGTTGCTGAACTTCTCATTTTCAACTATCTTCATGCAGCTCTGATTGTCGACAAATACATTTGTTGGTTGCTTGATGTCAATGTCTAATTCCTTACAGATACCTTTTATCCATTTCAGTTCTTGACATCCTTCACTTAATGCAATATATTCGGCTTCGGTCGATGAGAGTGATACACATGCTTGTTTGCGACATGCCCATGTAATTGTACCACCATTTAACATAATAATATATCCGCTATTGGATTTCCTATCAATCTTATTCTCCGCCCAATTTGCATCAGTATACATTATTAAGTTCTGCTCTAATGCATTTGAACTTAATCTCAATCTATATTGTCGTGTTCCTTTGAGATAACGTACGACTCGCTTTACTTCAGTTAAGTCAATATCTCTTGGTTTACTCATACGTTGACTTAAGATTGAAACACTTGCAGTGATATCCGGTCTTGTGTTAGTCGATAAATATAATAATTGACCAATTATCTTTTGATATATTTTATTATTGTCCATTAATTTATCACTAGTCAACTTTTCATATCCGGTATCCAATGGAAATCTTGAAATTTTTCCATTAATTAATCCACAGTCCTCAACAATCTTATCTATATAGTTTCTTTGACTCAGCAAAAAATCACCATCATGATTTTGTTCGATTTCCATTCCAAGAAACTGCTTTATATCTCCAAGACATTTCATTTCAAAATTGCTGCCTATTTTTGATGCTATATTATTTATTTCCGTTGAACTGTTACTTGCTATAATTAAATCGTCAACATAAATTAATATATAACAATTCTGATTACCAATTGTCTTCATATATAGACATTTGTCATATCTACTCTGCTTGTAGGTATTAGACATCAATACATTGTGGATTGCTTTATTCCATGATCTTGCTGACTGCTTTAATCCATAAAGTCCTTTCATCAGCTTACATACTTTATTTCCATTAGTATGTCCAGGAGGTTGTTTCATGTAAATCTCTTCATCTAATTTACCATTCAGAAAAGCTGTCTTAATATCATAATGCTTTACATGATATTTTCTCTTTGCTGCAACACTTAACAATGTCCTAAATGTGCTTGGTCTAACAACTGGT